CCATGACCTTTACCTCATTTCCTATGACCAAAACAATAACTCTCTCAGCGTCCCACTGAAAATTGTTTACTTTAACATGGAACAGGAAAATAAGGTCTGCATCTGAAACATGTCATGTCTATCTGAAACAACCCAAATAGGCTAACTAGCTTCTGGCTAAAGCAACTCAAATCTCTCACCAGCGAAACACCTCGTCAGCTAAATGCCACTTTACGTTTCATTACTACACGATACAGTATGTATTATCATTATTAGGGATGTCCCGATCCGATCACGTGATCGGGGATCGGAGCCGATCACGTGATTTTCAAAAAATCGGGGATCGGGATTATTATTATTTTTTTTTTAAATACTTTTTTTTAAATTTCGTATTCATTGTTACAAAACAAAAATGACCATGTTCAAGTCTTAAAGTCATCCTGAGGCCTTAGTTTTGGTTTCAAATGACAGAACATCATGTATGTGTTGCTTCTTTGGGGCTTGTTTTCATAGACCTGCTTATTTCTCTCAAATCTGGCAACAGAGTGGGCGCAGTGTCTAATTGTAGCAGTAAGCTAACGAGTACTGAAAGCTTTATTTATGATCCAATGCTGCTGTGAAAGAAAGAAGCTATATCCATGTTGGATAGAATATCCAATTTAAATAAAAAAATAACCTTAAGGGACAACTTGAATGCTTTTTTTTCTCTGAATGCATTTCATAAAGATCGGATCGGGAAAAATCGGTATCGGCAAATTGTCAAAATCAAATGATCGGAAGCAAAAACAGGTGATCGGGACATCCCTAATCATTATAGTATTACTATTTCGGCGATTAGCCAAAATATAAATTATATTTGATGAAACTTTAGTTACATCTCCAAAACTTTGGGAAAAATATTGTTTTCCATAACTTGTCCAGGGCCTGGAATTAGCATTCAGACTTTTCTAGGTTTTTAATGACTCTGGAATAGAGAAGACATTTGGGACGAAATATAATAAAGCATCTGGAAAAGTTTAAGTAAAAAAATCAGACAAAGTTTAAATTATGAATCCAACTAAATCTTAGTTTTCAAAATGATCAATAAATCAGACATAACGCGTCTCACCTCCAGGCCGTTGCGCGCGGCTTTGTGCATGTTGAGCTCGCTGATGGTGTCCTGCAGCACCGCGGGGGGGCTGAAAGCGACCGGCTTAGAGATCGGGTTCACGTAGAACTGAGACACTTCTGGATCCTCTTCTGTTCGACTGCTGAGACCCGCCATCTCCTCCTCGTCCTCCACATGACTGCCGACAGAATGAGTCAAAGCGTGAGTACGACCAGGTTAAAACACTCTGAGCCCAAGTTAAACCCAGCTTTAAAGGGTGCACCCGATGGAATGTGTGTGTACCTGTGCCCGTTGTGAGGGTACTCGGGGGGCGAGGCCAGGTCGTCGATCTCCTTGCTCAGAGGGCTGCTGTACTGGCTGCTGTTCAGGTTCTTCAGGACCAGCTTCTTGATGCTCTTCCTGGGAACGAACGCCCCGTTTGTGAGCGACGGCTCGTCGTCGTCCAGCCCGTCGAACAGCTGAGACTTTGAAGCCCCCGAAGAACCCAAAGCTTTGGGCCGGACGCGTGTCGCCGGACGGGGGGTGAGCTTGTAGTGAGTGGGCGTGGTCAGAGCCTTCTGGGCCGTGGGATTGGTCGGTTTCAGACGCTGGAAAGACACAGAGGAGGTGGGGTTAGATACACGAAGGGTTTGGGGATCAGGAAATCTGCTTTTTGATTTAAAATACTACAAAAACAATAAGTTTGATAAAATACGGACAAAATGAGAATAAAAGTGAGAGTAAAAGTGAGAATAAAAGTGAGAGTAAAAGTGAGAATAAAAGTGAGAATAAAAGTGAGAGTAAAAGTGAGAATAAAAGTGAGAATAAAAGTGAGAGTAAAAGTGAGAATAAAAGTGAGAGTAAAAGTGAGAATACAAGTGAGAGTAAAAGTAAGAGTAAAAGTGAGAGTAAAAGTAAGAGTAAAAGTGAGAATAAAAGTGAGAATACAAGTGAGAGTAAAAGTAAGAGTAAAAGTGAGAGTAAAAGTAAGAGTAAAAGTGAGAATAAAAGTGAGAATAAAAGTGAGAATAAAAGTGAGAGTAAAAGTGAGAGTAAAAGTGAGAATAAAAGTGAGAATAAAAGTGAGAGTAAAAGTGAGAATAAAAGTGAGAGTAAAAGTGAGAGTAAAAGTGAGAGTAAAAGTGAGAGTAAAAGTGAGAGTAAAAGTGAGAGTAAAAGTGAGAGTAAAAGTGAGAATAAAAGTGAGAGTAAAAGTGAGAGTAAAAGTGAGAATAAAAGTGAGAATAAAAGTGAGAGTAAAAGTGAGAATAAAAGTGAGAGTAAAAGTGAGAATAAAAGTGAGAGTAAAAGTGAGAATAAAAGTGAGAATAAAAGTGAGAGTAAAAGTGAGAGTAAAAGTGAGAATAAAAGTGAGAATAAAAGTGAGAGTAAAAACCAGACAAAGTTAAAAACAAACATTTGAGTCGAATTCTGATCAAATGTGATGCACATCAGATTTCTGTCCGTCTCTGTTTGTGGTTCATGCGAGTCTCACCTCCTCCTTCTTCTTGGGGTCTGACAGCGGGTTTCTGAACAGAGGAGAGTCTCCGTACGGAGAATACGCCAGAACACTGAGCTGCTGCTGCAGCAATGCATGCTGGGCCGCCGCGCCGCTGGGGTCCGTCAGCGCT